TCAATAAAACCTGCAATGTTACTTGGGCTGTCACACATCCGTCCATTTCCCACGAATTGCTACCAGCCTGGAATCATCTAGCAACCGAGAGGTCAACGTGAAGGTTTCGTGCTGTTCCAGTGTAGTCGCGAAACTGAGGGGAGCTTCTGATGGGTCAGATTCCTTAAAGCTCTGTTCCCCTAGCTGAGCAGACAGACTTCTTCGTTCCTAGCAGTCTTCTCCAGATAGCTTATTGTTCTGCTTAAGAGAGTTTTATCTACTTGGTACCGGAAATGCAGGACACCAAATTCAACACATACCGAGTCCGCAGGAGTGAACGGTAGTAGCCCAGCTCTTCACTTCTGTCGCTAGTCGTTGCACAGAGGGAAATCACAAATAAAGTGTCATCAAAATACATGGCATATGAAAGATTGCGATCGTGTGAGCGAATTTTCTCTCGCATTTTTTTTTAGATCTCTGGAGACTGGTAGTAGAGCGAGTAAAACTGTTTGAAGAAAAATAATTTTATTGAATTGTAGCTTAATTCAAAATAATTTCCTGGAAAGAAGTGAACGACAAAGTTCATGAATGATTTCTTTAGGCTGTCGTTCTCCTTTTTTGACCTGAATATGCATGGAAAGCGAATTATTTCCACTTCTATTGATTTAAACATGGAGATTTTTATTACTTCCAGCGGAACAGCGCCACCTCTGTGAAAAATGGCCTGACAATATGCTTGATTACATAGAAGAGTTTACGTTTGACGATGGCTTTTGCTTCCCCTAATGAATTCTGAAATCAATTTCAAGGTAATTCAAAGGAGAAATCCTAGAGAATAATAAGGATGATTTCATGAATTTTCAAATAGAAAAAATACATCCAGAGTATAATTCCATTGGTAATTTCGGAAACTATTCAGGAGACATGCTAAAAGAAGGATTAAAAATAAATCTGAGGTTAATTCCAGGAGGAATTTCAAGAGAGTTTTGACGTGGATGCCAATCAAATTTAGATGAGACATAAAAAATAGAGTGAATCTTTAGGAGAAATTCATAGGCAATTTTAATGTGAAGTCATCAAAAATTCTGAAAATAAATCCAAATGATTCTATTACAGGAATATTTTATGGTAATTCCAAGGAAAATTCATTGGAATTCCAAGGATGATTCTAAGGATATTCTAGTGACAATTTTTAGAAAACTCTTTCGAAAGAGTAAATAGAAATTCAGAGCTGAGTAAAATGGAATTCCTACATGGTAATTCCATGGGAACTTAATTGCGGGGGGGGGGGGTTGGTGGAATCGCTAGGTATACTGCAAGAATTATTTTAAATATGAAGAGTATTACAGAGTTATAGCAGAGAGGGCTATACAAAATATTTTTAAGAGTACTATGATGGAAATTACTAGTGTATTCTAGACACAGAAATAAAAATTATTATTAAAGATTTGAAAAAAAATTAAATTCAAAGGCTTCGTTTTGTTTTTTGATTTCATGCTAAGAAAATTATATGATCCTAGATTAGAAAAATCTGTAAGATTCAGGAACTTTAAAATTACATATTACATGGATATGGGCAAATATATCCAAGATTATTGAACATGAGAAGTGTTCAAGATCCAAAACAAACAACCATTTTTTAAATGCTAAAGTTTGAATTATGTTTAAGATTGCGAACTCAGCGGCGCCGGTGGTGTAGTGGTAAGCGAGATTACCAGCAGGCCTGGGTTCAATCCCAGTCGGCGCCGCCGGGATGTTCTGAGGCATAACATATCTGATCACGCCTTTCTTCGGAACGGAAGTAAAGCCGTTGGTCCCCGGTTCATGAGTTGATGGGTCGATAGGTAGGATCCAGGTGTGGGAGCTGCCTTCCTGGCGTCGGTAGCATTGGTGTTCAGCACGGAAAACAAGATCGACGGAAAACAAATCAAGGGAAAAAAAAGATTGCGAACTTGAAATTAACCTGTGTTGGAGACGAACCAGCCCAGGGCTGAAAGTCTCATCAATAAAGATATTAAAAGAAATAGCCCACTGTCTGAGACTTATTTTTTAACTCTGAGATTCTGGCACTTTGAAAATTTTGAAGATCCTGGACTTGGAGTTTGGTATTTTAAAGCTTTGGTTGTTTATAGCTTAGTAAACTTAAGTTAATGTTAACCGTCAAATTTTACTGATTTTGATTATAAAACTGAGACAGAATGAATGAGAAATAAACAAAATGTAGTTTTAAATATGTCCATCGAATGTAGATACATCAATTTTCACATTAACGGGAACTATCAACTCTATACATTCATCTCCTCATCTATCGTTTAAAATTACAACTTTAAGTCTGTTATTTGATGCTTAGCATCTTCAACTATGCATTTTTATGGTTAATTGTTATAAACACTTAGCCTACCGAAAGTGATCCGTACTGTTTTTCGGAACCAGTGGAACAATCACGTAAATATTAGATAGCGTTAAATTGAAGGCTTGTTTCTTTTATTTGACCTGAGAATTGTTAAATCTGGTGCAGTGATTGCTAAAAAATCGATCTTACATTTTTGTTGTTTCACACACCAATCGCTTAAAGTAAATCTAAACCCTTCTTTAGAAAAGTACTGCTGATGAAGACGTAGTTTACCCTATAAAATAAACTTCTGGTACATTTTGATCGATTGACTATCGCTAATATTAAATATATGACCATATTCATAATGTCCGCATTTCCGTAGCACGTTGGCAAACTGATGGTGTCGCGTTACAAAATGTGCTTTAGAATATGTTATTGACCCGATTTTGTCAGCCCACTATTTGAAAATAGTTTCTAATGTTCTACGAATCCAGTGCGCTTTTTAAGTGGTCTTATTGCACCTAAATATACCTTTAACATCCCTTTTGAAGATCAATGAGAAAGATTTGGAATTACGGTCATGTGAAATTATTGAAAGATATTTTATGCATTCCGTAAAAAACATCATTTTTGTTTCCAAAGCTGTAGTACACGGCCATTGAATCTGATTCATATTTAATGTGGGTTGAAATCCCACCGGTTACCGTTCATTTTTTGCAGATTTTCTCTTTCACACGTGTCCTTCTCATCATATCTGGATCAACAATAGAAAAGGGCCGATCAGCATTTGTAAACCAACCGTTCCAAAGCCCTTAACTCACAAATCGAAGGCCACCCACGCAAACCAACACCATCATTGGATAGGGTAAACATCTACCTACACGATGATGGTGTTGGTTTGTGTGAGCGGCCTTCGATTTGTGAGGAATGGGCTTTGGAACAGTTTGTTTACGAATGCTGATGGGCCCTTTTCTATTGTTGATCCAGATATGTGCTTTGCTTATCAGTATCTCCTCTTCAAATACAAACTAGAAAAAAAAGATTGGGTACACCGTGATTTAAAGGGGAATGCCATTTTCAAATCTGAAACGAAATGGTATGCTTATGCTTGTACGCATGTTGACAGAATAGTTTTGTCTGAAGTTCGATTATTTGTTGAAATATGATAAAATAACTCAATTAATGACAGATTTTAGGCCCAGATATGGATCTCCGTGTGACCAATCGCCTTTTTTTGCAATATAATGCTTATACAGGACATCAAAACTTCATATTAGCCATATATCAGCCTTATTATGCAATAAGGTGAATTTGGTTGGTTAGTTACTTGGCACATGTACCACAGGTAGTATTTTAAATAATTGTCTTTGATCGGGATCTTAAAAAAATATCAATAGGACATCAACCATTTTTTCCGTGGATTTCACGTTAAAATACTAGCGGTAATGATTTTGAAAACAATATCTTTCACTTTCCCACACTTTCTAATTACCCATTCGATGTCTCAATATCGTATTGTGTTTCGGCAACAATATGTTTACCTCAAAGTGTTCCTTAAATTTTTCAAGTATTAGAAAAAAATAGAATCATTTAATACTGAGGTTAGTGATTGAATTATTGCTTCGCAGAATATTACTCAAAACCGACTAATTAATGAGCCATTCATATGCGAGAAAGGGTGAAATATTGACAACCCACGATTGCAATTCAAGTTCTGCGTGCGTCCTAATGACTGTTTCACCTTTCGCGCATTTAAAACCATTCCAGTAAATCAAGCTGCTACCAAACTTAAACTTCCGCCCCCAAGAGATAAATTATCAATAAATAACTCCACTCGAGCAACAATGTAGTCCACCATGAAGGCAGTGCATTCGATTCATCATAACACATGGGGAGACCTCCACAGCATCGACGCCCAAAATGGCTTCTTGGCAAAGTATATCCCTCCCAGAAGAGCAGCCCATGTTGGGTTCATGCACTACGGACGGTCGACCAGGGCCGTGCAGTCATTAAACATTCATGCGTCGTTCCGTCGTTAACGTTCCCATAATAACCATTGTCTTACGCATACTAATTCGATGTTAATTTAATTTCAGACAGACGGACTGATTGACCGCAACGCACACGAGGATCGATCGTCATCCATCGATGAAACCAACTACGGAAGGAAGGTAACCCGATCCTTCAGGGGAAGGGTCGCTGACAGGGAGGTAGAATGACAACGCAAGACCATTACAAGATTCTTGATTTTCCTTCTCATGTCGTCGCACTGCCGGAGAGTGACGCACAAGGATTTTAATTTATGTACACGGGTTCGGTCCGTCCGTTTTCGATTCCTGGAGACAGAACAGATGCGCCAAATGGATACGATGAGTTTTCTCATCAATGCCCGGGGAAGGATGATGTGTTCTCTCGGTACGGACAAATTTATGCATTACATAAAATGGGTTTTAATTTCGAGAAACAGAAGTTGGAATTCGCGGCACGTCAACGGTTGCCTCTCCTGGAAGGGGATCATTTTCCAGAATGTCGGCTGATGGGGCCAAATAAGAGACAATCGGTTAATGATGGGAGATGGTTTTTGCTTCGTAGAAAGGGTTAAGCATTTTCGGATGCTGTGCTGTAGGTACTTGTGATATTTATTAATTCATGTTCTATAAAACAATCAAATCAAAAATTGACTTACCTTTGAATCTGCTGATTAACATCGTCTTGGTTCATATCGGAAGCGACCACGTACACCGTAGTACCGTCCGGCCCCTGTTGCGGCGTATACTGGAGGTTCCCCTGGACCACGATTTGCGTTCCATCCATCAGACCCAGCTCATTATTGGCGTACAAACTCTCCAAGCCCTTCTGATCGGTGTAGATCACAGTTTTGTTGCCATCGTTGTATACATAATCGATCTGGGACTTCGGTTCCTGATCATTCGGATCTTGGTTCATCGGTTCAAAGTGCGGTATGGCAGCCTTGGGATCACCATAAATGACGTTTTTAGGCTCGCCACCAACAGTGTAGACGATCTGTTTGGGTTGATTGATGGCGGTCGCTTGATCTGGGGAGGAATCGTTTGCTGGATTGCCATAGATTTGCGGCTGTTGATGATGGTGAGGTTGTTTGTCGTCGCTTTCTTTCTCATACTGAAGGACAGTAGTTGGAAGTTGTTCATCGGTTGGGGTCGAAGGGCCACCGCCGGGCACTGTTGCTGCGTGATGACCGCTGTAAATGGCATTGGGATCGGTTGGGAGTTTGTTGATTAATTGATCGGTGGTGGTGGCCGGAGCATTCACGATCCGGGTCAGAATCGTTTCGCCATTCTCGTTGCGCGTGATGATGTGATGCTCGCCGTTGATGATCTCGCGACTGATGATCTGTTGGTTGCCCAAGAGGCGCTGGATGTGTGCGTTGTCCAGCATACGCACTGATTGATCGTCCGGCGAGAGACGGGCCAGTGACTGATGTTGCTGCTGTTGCTGATGGTGGACTTCACCATTCAGGCCGGACGGTATTAATCTTCCGTCAATTACCTGGTCTCCTGGCGAGAGTCGCTGTACGTGTTGATCCTCTTCGTGCGATTGATGGGGATGCTGTGGCTGTTGCTGTTGTTGATGGTGGTGGTGGTGGTGATGATGATGTTGTTGTTGTTGTTGTTGCTGCTGCTGCTGCTGCTGCTGCTGCTGCTGCTGCTGTTCTTGAATCAGTCTTGAATGCAGTAAGTTCTGTTCTGTATGATCATGATCGGGGGAGGCCAACTGATGAGGATGACCTGCTTGAACGATCGTGGTCAGCTGCTGAGGAGACTGTATGGATGCTACTGTCGTGTTGATCTTATGGCCTGGGTTGGCGTACAGGTACACCGTGTTGGTTTCCTTGTCGTAAACTTTTGTTTGACCCACATCCCCCGCGTAGTCTTTGTGCAGGTCCAGCACACTGACATTAGTCATTGTCGCCAGCTCCGGTGGTGGCGTGGGTGGGTTCGATTTAATCTCGCTATGTGCCTGCTGTGGCTGTTGGTGATGATGCTGTTGTTGGTGTTGCTGTTGTTGATGATGTTGTTGTTGCATTTCAGGAGAGGAAGACATTTTTACTCAAACTTTCTCCTGCTGATTCGTTGGCCTCTATGAGAGAAATTGCACTTTATTTACTGCTAGTCTAATACTGTGTTTACTGGAAGCACTGTTGAGTATTATTTCTCGCCGAAAAGACGACTTGTATCACATTCTATGTTTTCTAAATCTCACGATCTCTGGACGGATTCGTTCGCTAATTGTCGGTCAATTTCACGCTTACATAGCTGAATCTGCAAAATGAAAACGAAAATAGTCATCATCAGTGCTCAGCACACCTCGATTAATCACCATACTTAATTCACGATCCGACGTTAAGTTCAAAGAGTGCGAAACGAGAATCCATCTTTTATTAATTCGAATAAAACGTTGTCATTGGAAGCTACCCGCAAGCAGCAACGGTTCAGGCATCACACTGAATAAGTGTGCTTGTTTTATGATTAATGCTGTAAACCGACGACGCCGATGACGACGACGACCAGGCAAAGAGTGTCAATCGAGGTTATTAGCCTTTTACGAATGTGTTGCTGCTTCTGACTGCCACCGGTGGCAAGTTGGCCACTGACTAGTTGGAGGTTGCAATTTAGAGATTGTGTTCAAATGCTTCATGGTGTGTGCCTGCTAGGCACAACCAACGAGTGTCATTTGCTACGCTACGGTCATGGATAAAAATGATGATTAAAACGGCGTTTGGCGAGAGAATTAGGGGTCGTATGCATCAAAGAGAGTTTATGAATTATTTTAATTTCCCTGTACGTTATTGTTCGGATACATTTAAAATCACTAAAAAAAGTTTCGACCCTTCGGGTGTCTTTTTCCCACCACTTCTCAGAGATCAAGTTTTTGTGCTTATGAAATCCCTTCTGTTGATACTGGTCAACATTAGGGTGGTCCTCAAACCTTTCTTATTTTTGAAAATGACACGCATATTTTTTTCGAAAACATTTGTTTGTATCTCGTTTTATAATCAAAAATATTTTTATTCAAATGATAATAAGAATCAGCATAAATGTACACCAAAATTGGGGTTTAACTGTAAGGAACAACTTTGTACAAGACGCTTTCATTCTAAAGTTTCAATTTCAGGCTCTTATTGCACCTTTTCTGCAGAATTTCCATCCTGGACCATTGTGCACTGTTGGCAGGAACCTATATCGCTGTGCAACACAACTTTCTAGGATAGAACCATTTATCCATATTTGACATTCCTATGGTCTCCTGATCAGGGCTGGTGAATGTCATTATCAATGAAAGATCTCACGTGATATTTTTAGAAATCCTTCTGTCACTATCATTGAATGAGAAAACGATGATAGAGATTTTCTTCAAAATCTCATTAAGTTTTTTGTCATTATAGAACGTGTCAGTGATGGGAACATTGCAAACAGAATTATTTATTCTTCTGCCGTGACAATCCTTAAGATAAGATATCCATTCGACCGATTGCATTCTATGGCTTGTCTAATTTCTTCGAAGTCAACTAGAACTGTTGACGTCAAAACCATAAGAGAATTAATCGCATGTGTGCTTGATTATAATAAAATGACATGAAAGCTCATGATGAAAGCTCATATCAGAAGCCTCTCCTTTTAAGCATACAGTACACAAAAATACTTCTTAAGCTCTTTGGGGGGGAGAGGGGGGGGACCCCAGCGCACAGTGGTCTAGAACTGTGAAAAGATGGTCAAAAGTCATTAGCTCACGAATCTTGCATTTTAGACTAGTGGTGTCGTGAGAAAAGTTTCTGGATATAAAAAGACCCTTCTTTTGATATTGACAAACCAATGATTAATCCTTCTAAAAGTGAGATTCAAAATTTATTTTTCCAAACAATCCATATTCCGGTTCGGTGTCTTGGGCAAAGTTTTAGAAAATATCAAAACAAGAAAGTTTGCTCAAGACGCTAGGTGACTATTTCTTCATCTTATTGAAATATGGAACGTTGTTGGTGGAAAACCTCATAATAAAAGTTTCTGCTTAATAATTAAATTATTTAAACTTTTTCTGGTTTAAATGTTCTACAAAATTGTTCAAAACATCAATACACATAAGTTTGATGAATATCATATCATACTAGATCGCTAAATAGGTAAGTTTTTATTGGTTTTGCTCAAAAAATACTATTTTTAGCCACATAATTACGATTTACTGCCATTTCCCACCACATCCCACGACAAAACCAATAGGAATAGAAGTATTTAAGTGTGTTTTCTTCAAAACATTCAAAATTTCTTGCAGAAACAGGCAGAAACATAAATTATATGTGAAATACTGCATGATTTGGGATGTTTTTTTTTTTAAATGGAAAACCCCTTAAAAGTGATTTTTTTCCAAGATAAAACATTTTTTGAACCAGTTCAAAGTAGAGGTTCAAAGAATGTTTTATCTTGAAAAAAAAAATCACTTTTAAGGGGTTTTCCATTAAAAAAAAAAAAAAAACATCTCAAATCATGCAGTATTTCACAAATAATTCATGTTTCTGCCTGTTTCTGCAAGAAATTTTGAATGTTTTGAAGAAAACACACTTAAATACAAGGTTGCAAATAATCATTTCAGCTAAAATAATGTTTTTCACCAAAAACGTTCCATATTTCAATAAGATGAAGAAATAGTCACCTAGCGTCTTCAGCAAACTTTCTTGTTTTGATATTTTTTAAAACTTTGCCGAAGACAGCGAACCGGAATATGGATTGTTTGGAAAAATAAATTTTGAATCTCACTTCTAGAAAAATTAATCATTGATTTGTAAATATCAAAAGAAGGGTCTTTTTATATCCAGAAACTTTCTTCAAGACACTACTAGTCTAAAATCCAAGATTCATGAGATAATGACTTTTGACCGTCTTTTCACAGTTCTAGACCACTGTGGCGGCGTAGTGGTCAGCATCCATACCTCTCACGCCAAAGTCACGAGTTCAAATCTCTCCCCCGGACAAGTCACGAATGACCCAAGAGCCTTAAAATGACCATAATAGTAAAAAAAAGACTTCTTAAGCTTAAATTTTTTTAATTAAATAAAAATTGACCGCAAAAAAAAAGGTTTATTTTTATTTTTAAAAAAAAATTAAAAAAACCAAGAATTTCAGTCTTTTTCCTACATTCTTGAGCAAATTTACACGCAAAAATATTTTTTTTTCTTACTCAACATGAAAAAAGATGTACTCTCAGATGTTTTGTGGTTTTTTGAGTCCAAATGTAGGTGACTTTGCTCGTGAATTTTCTTCACAAAATTAGAACAAATATAATTTTTTAGATTTTTTTTTATATCTTTTTCCAATATTTTTATACAAATCAAATCCTATTTTTTTTTTCGGAGCGGGTAGCTTCCCCTTTAGTATGCTTAAAAGGTGGGTCTCCGGTTGTCAATATACACGCATAAAAAGAGGTACCAGACATGTTTTGCAGTGTCAGGTATTCAATTTTGTAGTTTGTAAAAGGGATTTATATCAGTGTTCACTCGGCTGTCGACGGAAGCAGACCACTCTTAATGTGTGTCATGCGATCATCTGTTTACTCGGCAGCAACCATTGTGTGGTCCTTCTCATTGTTATTCATGAGCAGTTCTTTCAGTCGATGCGTCGTCGACTTTGTAAAGCAACCGTTTCGTGATGACCACGTTTTGCGTCCATTGCTGCAATGGAAGCGCTCTGACCCCCGTTGGCGAATCTGCCATACAATGAAACCACTGGAAGCGGTTCCCGTTCTGGTCGATGAGGCTTATTGGATAGCAGAAAATAAATGGTTTATTGTGTTGTACCTTTTGACTATATTTTTAAGATGTTCACTGTACAACAATAATCCGCGGCTCTGTAAAGTTATTTCGGTTGAGCCTTATCAAATAAATTAATAAACAAAAAGGGATTTATAGGTTTTCTGACTGAACTGGGCTCTGCGAACAACTAACGGACCACAGTTTCTGCTTTGTTTCCGATAGATGTCACCGCAAGCAGTGACATTTGATGGAAAATTAATGCAGAAGCTCGACTAAACGGTTAATGAGCCGATGGAACTAGTTTCTGCGCTTATTGGTCATCATATGTCAGTACTGTTGTTGGTGGCGACATCTGTCGGGAATTACGCATAAACTGCTTTCTGTTAGTTGATAACAGAGCACAGTGCAGCCGAAAATACTAGAAATCCCTTCCAATTTAGAACACCTGACACTGAAACACATGTTTGGTACGTCTATGTATGAAGATACTCCTTTTTTGCATACTTGGAACAAAAAATACTTTCTGAACCCCTCCCTAAACAGGATTTTCCGAGGTTTTAAATGTTAGGATGGGGTTTATAGAGTATCTTTTGTTCCAAGTATGCAACGTCGTTCCAACAACGTTTTCGGTAACAGGTACTCTATTCTGAAGTCTGTGAGAGGAAAATCACAAATCACGAGTCATCAAAATACATGGCATGTTGAGAGATTGAGTTCGTGAGAGAGAGTAAATTGTGTGAGAGATAAAGTAGCTCACTCTCTTGATAGTAAGGTAGATAGTGTATAGGAATGAACTGTTTTATTTATTTTACAGTTAATTAACAAGTAAATTTTAAACTAAAAGATCCAAACATGGGAGATACACTACCGATCATAAGTTTAAGGACACCCCCAAAAAACCATGCAAATATGTTTTGTTCAATGATCTCTCATTTTACGTTCAATTTTCGATCTCCAAAGGTTATTTGAATGGTATGAATGGTATAGCAAAAGTGTTCTACTACTACTTTTATTTCAAAATTTGGCAAACTCAATTCTGAGAAAATCAGTCACGATTCTTCAGAGTAAATTTTGAAAAATATTGCACCTTTGGGTGAACTTTAAACACACATTTTTTTAAATTATATTGAACAATTAACCTACGAGGAAAGTTCAATTGAATACCTTTCAAATGATCTAAAGAGAACGAAAATTGGATGTTACATGACAGAGATATGAACATAACAAGTTTGTCATGTTTTTTTTTTTTGGGTGTCCTTAAACTTATGATCGGGAGTGTAGATACTTACTATCTCTATGCATTTGGTCACGTGATTTCTTGAATACTTTTTGTAATTATTGGAAATAATTGATTTTCTCTCTTCTCCCATACTGAATTTCAACGATGCCTACCAAGGTAACAGTGCCATCTCTGGGAATATTGTTTATGGGGATCACTTATGTCGATATGAATTTGACCTTGGCCCAGGCTAAAGCAAAATCAAGCAGCCATTTAGGATGGAAGTCTTTCACATCGGCCCATTGCACCACTGAAGGTGCCCAGAGTGCTTTAGTAAATCATCTAATCAGACACTATGGGTTGGTTTTAAAGTTTCATATGACTGTATTTTATAATTTCGCGAATTTTCTTGAAAATCTGAGTGAAAGATTTAGTTTTTTAGTGTGCATACAATTAATGAAATTTTTCTAAAATTGAATGTAAAATTTAAAATCTTGAACAAGTAACACAAAATTTTCAAAAACATATCAACTGCAGAGTTGGTCTTTAGTGTAATAATTTATTAGCTAGATAATGGTCTGAACAGGATAGGTTGATAGTTCCGCTAGAGTACGGCAGTATGAAAATTGAATAGAAGTCTGAAAATGAGCGAGGGCCATTAATGCGACAGTACTAGTCAATAACAGCTAATAAATTATGACACTAAAGCTTCATGTTAGACAGCATTTCCAACCAACTCTGAAAATCGTAAACTTCACGTATAAAGTAACATAAAAACACTTTGAATGTAACAACTCAAGGCAGGAGTAACCGTTAACTACTGTTTTCTCTCTGAGATGACTATGTTGGTCATGACGAGAGGAGCTACACAATAGTTGGGTAAAGAAGAATTGCATTATAACACACCATCGGCTGAAAATGGTTTCGTCAACGTGGGGCTTTAGGTAGTGATGAAACGTCACAAGAACTATTCCACAGCCGCAGACAGTATATGAGCAAGTCAAACACGTACTTTTTTGCCTGTAGATTTGAAGAAATACTGGTAGTCTTCTAATCAAGGTATGAGTTAGATAAAGAAGTGTGCGTTTGACTAGTACTGTCACATTAATGGCCCTCGCTTATTTTCAAACTTCTATTAAATTTTCATACTGCAAAACTATCAACCTATCCTCTTCAGACCTTTCTCTAGAACATTTTAAGCTTATCTGAATAGTTAATAAACTTATTGATTTTGCCAATATGCGTTGAACTTGTATAACGTTGAAATTCTAAGATTGACAAACGTATTTCTTCATAGATAACTAAGATTTTTCGAAATTGAATTCCAATATAGTTATGAAAAATCTCAATTGCTTTGATTAAAAAAAAAAACGCAATGTTATATCAAAATATATTGGAGTTAGAATATATCTTCAAAAATTTCGCATTCGGTTCTCTTTCAAGTTGAAGCGTTATAAACTTGAACGTTATGAAATGCACTCAAAAAGGTCCAACCTCCTAGCAATGATGCATACGACCCATCCACTTACTTATCTCAAGCCAAGTAGCAACACCAATTTTCCCCAACACTAACGCCTCGTCCGATTTTACCTGTCCCATCAATTTATCTCGAATCGCACTCTCTGAAACTTGGTCGGCGTCAATTGAATTTAATCTTTTTGCATTTTTTTTTTCTTTCTTCAAAATCCTTATGTTGGGCTCGGGTTGCTATACTACTCATCGCACACAGGTGCACACTTGGACACTATATATTTTTTTTTACATAATCACTTAATGAGCACTCCCCGCATTCGCACACTTATCGGTTGTATTTTCACTCTCCGCGAGCATGCACTTGTAGAAACTTCTTTTCTTACAGAGATTGACAACTTGTGCTCTTACTTTGCTTCTTTGTCTTCTCCTTCTTCGGCTGTCGCTGGCTGCTACTTGCAACACTTGCTCACTTTAGTGTGTATAAAACTGTCATCGGTCGGAGCGGACATTCAATTTACACGCCTGCTAAATTGTTATCAATTTTTTATCTTTTCTTCACCGTGCACAAACACACACACTTTTGACTGGCTGGCTTTGATGGCTTCCACGTTTCTCTTAAAATTTATGATTATTTACTTTTTCTTTACTTTTCATCCACCGAAGGCTTAACTTGTTTTAAAACTACTACTATGGCGATGCACTTAACTTTGTTATGGCACTTGGAAGTTGGACGGATGTCGTTACGATCTTAAACAATATAATAACAGCAGCAAGAATCTCAAAAATTTCTCCCCTTGCAGTATTCCACTCAATATCACACTTGGTTGAAATTGAAGCAATTCCTTAAAACAGCATTATAATTTAGCTCTGAATAATAAAATAAAAAATATGTTCCTTAACTAAAGTACGCAAAATTGGAAGCCTTGTCTTTCGATTTTTTGTTTTTCTTGCGATCTGGCACGATTGGCACCTCGGCTATTCATTGGCAATTATTATTTTTCACAAACGTTCACTCATTCATCTTATTATCCACGGCGTCTAGTTGCTCCGTAGGCTGCTGCTGTTGTTGTTTGGGGCCGAAGGGGCTGCTATTAATTCCACCAGCTTTTGCATATTAATTCCCTTGTTTTCGAACGGTGCTTTTCCCGTCCACTATTGCCACTGAGACGGCGGCCGGGAGCTTCGTGTGGGGGTCTCTGTCTTTGTCCTGAGCTAAGCTGGACAGCGAACGATGGCGACGGATACGGGGAGAGAGGTCACTGTGGAAGAGAAACAGAATGCCGGTAGGTTAGTTAGATTGTTGATGAATATTAAATTATAATTTAGAGTTGCACTCGTTGCGAAAATATTATTCTGTACATATGCAAACAGTTTACAAGCAATTAAAGAGCATTCCGGTGGCGGTTGTGTGTGTGTGCGCGCCGCTGCGGACTGTATGTTTGATACGTGTTGTGATGAATTGTGAATACATTACAAATGCTAATTGTAACCCGGGGTACTATCATTCCATGACCAATGATAGCTCGGATCGGAAGGTAGCAAAGTCCTTGTCCAGTATGCGATACATAATAAATGACCGGTGGAAAATGATGGATTGGATGTTTGGTCGTTTCTAGAATTCTAATAACCAACTGCGTCTCACTTAGATTTCTGAAAGGTCTCAGTTGAACTAGTAAAGTAAACTAACAATCAATTATCCAGTTTTTTTTTTTCACATAATTTCAAATAAACAGGTAAAACCACTAATCTAAACATAGAATGCTAGTAGGTAAATTTATGCTCCCAGAAATTATAAAACCTTGACTTGGTTTAACATTAAAATCCAGTATAAGGTAAGCTAAGAGGACGGCACAACTGTCTAACTAAAATGAAAAACCAATCACAGAATAGGATTGAACAGATGTCACTTAGTTGGCCTCAAAAACCATTAAAATCAACCTTCCTGTTTTGTTTAGAGTCCATCTTTGTTACATGACGAGATCAGTGGCGTTTCTTTAACCTCAATCTACCTGTGCACCAACTCTCAAAACATAAACAATTATCAAAATATTGCTTGCAATGGATAGATATCGAGTAAACTAGAAGATTAAGTGTATTTTCAACCGATTCGAGTATGAATATGGTATTAAATCTGGTTTTTAAAGTTGGTGCACAGGTAAAAAGTGAGGTTACGGAACGCCACTGGACGAGATAGAGAAAATATTTTTTTCACGTAAATTTTTTCAGGTTTCTAAGGAAAAGGCTTATTTTCTTGGATTTTTGATATCTTTTACCAATTTTTTTTAGAAAATAAAAACGTGTCAGTAATTTAAATTTTCAATTTCCAGCTTTCCATTAAGGACAGTTTATGGTTTTCCACCGCATTTCAATTTAGAGACTATTCATAGACCGTTTTTGAGAGGTTTAAGATCCCCTCATTCCCCTGCGTCGACAACCGTTCATATATTTTTTTTAATTTGTATGGACCGTAGACAATCGCCAACCCGCCCTCTCACCAGCCTAAAGTTTCTACGTGGTTTATGAACAGCTCCTTTCATGACTTGAGTCTAAATATGTTTTGGAACAGCAGCACTGCTCGGGGTGAATGACCGTAATCCGGTTAAAACCCTTAACCAAAAAAACAAAACTAAAGGGTTATGTCCTAGACACGACCGCAGTATGACCTAGAACGACGCAAAATTGATGTATGTCATACATTTTTGACTATTATACTCTATCTTAATTTTTTCAAGTATTTAAATGTTTCGGTTATGGTTCAATGTTCGTTAAAGTATTTTTTCCTGGAATGTAATCAATTATGAAAATTCAAATGTGGGGTCCTAAACAAGCCGTTATATATTTTAGAGTAGCACCCCAGTATAGTCCACAAAGACGCCATGCGGGATAAATCAATTGCAAAAAATAAGTTAGTTTTTCAGTAGCTCCATCAATAGTTTTAAATTAGGTCTCTGAAGCAAAGAAGACAGTGAAGGTTGCATTTTATGATAACGCAAAAGGCAGTTGTTTTCCTTATCAGAAGACGGTACTTTTATATTGAACAAAATATTGGTTCATATGTCAGCAAAGTAGGGGTGGAAGGGTAATAACGATCATACGGGGCTTAAGTACCTCTTTGTTCTCCAATTTGCAATTATTATGTAGTTTACAGTGTGTTCGTAGAATGATGCAAAATAGAATACTGTGACTTTTCTCAAATCAAACGTTTGGTTTCCAATGAGTAGGTACTTAGTACAATAACACATTCAGTTTTTGAATTTCAAAGACAGAGCTCGTATACAGGTTCTCCAGCTATTCAATGTTTTGATTGTAAGCATCATAGTTAAGGTAAACCTTGTAAGTTGAAACGGTACGTGTATCTTTATTCACTGTTATTATTTTAGAGGGGCATTGTGTACTATTGCAAATTACTATATTAGAAATAATCTAAATCCTATTTATTGAAGGTTTTTATTCAGCAATGAATTGGACCTACACATACATGATGGTTGGGCGCATTATATAAAGTACCATTTGTATGCTTAAGAGCCCGCAAGGCCGAGTGTCACAAACCAATCAAAAGTCGCTACATGAATGGTATTATGGTCACATATTTTTTGGAATCGATCAATTGGTTTCGGAAATATGACCGGAATATGCTGCGGTTTACATGAGATATCAGGCTAATTGCGACCTCACACGAATAAAACTTATCAGGTGACACCTCACATCAAATGAGAATAAAAAACTAGGTAATTTGAGGGGCCCAGTGCCTCATTAGCCACACCTAGCCATGTTTTGATCCCCCGGAGAAGTAGCCAGTTTTTGAATATGGTCCAAAACCGTGTGCATAAATAATTTCCGCGTTTCGATCTAATTGAACCCAAGTCTCCTTCGACCCATGGCGGGTTGCCAAGGTGATCACGCCGTGATCCACCTCTAGGGGTGTTTACATCTGTGCTGATTTGCTAGGCGCTAGCGCTAGCCAACTATCACATGCTGGTAGACGCTGATGTCCTGCTTACATTATTCTGGCTACTTTTTTTGCACAGTGCTAGTACACTAGCGCTACCAAATCCGCATAGGTGTAAGCACCACATTAACTGCTGACTTGCTCTTGCTTGCTGCAGGACCCAGTTCCACGCCGTCCGAAGCGTGTACATTTTTTCAAAAGTTCTTTTTATGAAAAATTAGAAAAGTTTTTTTCAGTAGTTTCGTAAAGCAATATCCTATCGATTGGCGCATTTGGATTTAAATTTCATCTATAAATGACACAGTTACAAGCGTTCAAAACCTAACACTACTTCACCTTACATATTTTTTGATGTGTACCCCAGTATAGTCGACAAAGACGTAGTTCCACGTCAAAAGCAGCGCTGCACAATGTGAATAGAAAACTCAGTAGGGGTCGATACCAGTACTGTGTTCCTACAATTGGAGCTTAGTAGTTGCACCCAATATTGACGTGCGCCCTTAAAATATAAATCTGTCTAAAATAACGATGCACCCGCCTCTTGAAAACTTATAAAAATGACGTTGTTTCAAATAGTGTATTATCTAGTTGATTTGGCACGTTGCAAAACTTTTACGCTTTATCGCTGCTGCACGATGATCAGCACCATATTCTACAGCTGGTGAAGGTGCCACACAATAAAAACTCGAGAGGTGGAAAATCTCCCTACCCTCAAAATAATTTTTACTTCAATGCTACGTGAAAACATACGTAGATTTTTTCCATCGTACTTTTCACGTAACAACTATATGATTCCCAAGAAGGGGCACTCATTTCATGAAGCTTGAACGTCACAGGATTATCACGTAGAAGTTACGTGATACTGTCGATAGATTTCATAGTGGTTAATACTATTATTTGTACTGCTGTTGGCTGGTTTTTCTTTATTTTAATGTTTATTACAGCAAAATTCATGAAACTTCTTTATTCGCTTTAGAGTGTTCAATTTATTAAAAACAAAAAAATACATTGTTATAAAACCCAATCAGGAACTCGATGTTTGGTCAACGTGCCTCCATGGGACGATTGCACTTCACGGCTTCGTGGTAGCTTTGTCTCCATTTGAGCTGCCTATGACTGGTAATACCAGCCATTATCTTCCCGTTCCGGTGAGGAGTCGTGAGCTGTAAACTCGACTGCTGCAGTTGAGAAAAGTGGAGGTGTTTGTTGAAGTGCAGGAGCCGTGCATTTTTGCACGGTGGTATCTGTCAAAGATCCATAGTGGACCTGGAAAAGAAGACAAAGGTAAACTGCTTTTGCTGCTTGCCGCCAACTAATCAAAAATCGAATATTTAACAGCATAATTTAAATCTCATACTTACGTTTTTACAAGTCCAAAAAAGACAACAGTAACAAATCTGCATCTTCACACTCATGCCGCCATGTTGAACACCCAACTGAGTGCTACTTTTTTAAACGTGGAATTCTCTTAAGACTTACGTGAAACGCACATAGATTCTAGGTATGTGTAAATCACTTAATTTTCATTGGATAAATAAATGGGTGTAATTGGAATTTCTTTTAACATTCAGGTGGCATTGCGTTAATTTTACTAGAGTCACGTAAAGTAGACTGAAGTCCGAAAATATGAAACGTTACGTGATTTTTCACGTAGTAGTAAAGTGTGGATTATTTTGAATGTAATGTTCCTTGAACATCTACAAAGTCCCCTTATAAATACTTACTTCCTGAAATTATTGTGTATTCCTAAAACTTCCCTCAACACTTTCCCAGCACCATCATTTTTTTTTCTTAGTTATCTCGTACCATAAAAATTGTCTCTCTCTCCAAATTTTAGAAAAAAAAACTTTGAACCATTTCTATAAATATTCCTAAACATTCGTGAGCAAAACCTCTGGAAAACAAAGTTCTCAAAACTACCAGAAAGTACCAAATCAAACCCTAAAACTATTAAGAAGTATGCTGAACTTTAACAAACCTGAGCTGAGTTTTTGTTAAATTCCCAGAACTTCTGCCAAAATCACTGAGGAGTTTGCTTTGAGAATCGTTCGAGAACGGTAGTGTTTTTGCTCCGCTGCGGGCTTTTATTTTATTTATTTATTTTTTGAGTTCGGGCTGTCTCTATGCTGGCGTAGAATTTTTCGGTGCTCGAATTTGATTAGTTTTGTATCCCTGGCGCGATAATTTGATTTGGAAATGTTTGTGCTGATGTTTCCCCCCTGCTGCTGACGTGCTTGATGTGGTCTCGCTTCCATTTATTGCCAGTGTGACTCGCCCGCGTTATTATATTGTTAGGCTATTGCGATGTGC